AAGAAGAAAAGAAATGAGTAAGAACCATGGTTCACAAAGCTTGTCCATTATGTTTTTTTACCTTTTTAAATCTGTAGCAAGTGAGTTTTCTATATTTTTGTGAAGTTTTTGTTGATCTGTCCCTTGGATGCATTCCCCACCCCCTCACGGGCATTATTCCACCTTTTCAGGACACATTCTTCTCGTTCCGTCAACTAATCTTAGTCTTGAATCCTGTTGAAGAAGGGAATTGATTGTTGCATACTTCTTTCAAATGCTGTTGCCATAATTAATTGCCTTAAATTCAGTGGACCTCAAGTATGTTTCATGCTTATGTATATTCCTGCAAATTCTGCAATACTTGGATGTCATGGTTCTCTAGCGAAATAACTAATTTTCATGTTGATGCTTTTATTGGTCTATATGGCATTAGTAAAATGTTGTAATAGATGGGACTGAGTCTTCTGCAAGGCATGTTATGATAAATATGTGCGTGTGTGTGTGTATCCATGTCTACTGTATTAAAATTTTGAAAACTGGAACATGTTCTCATGTTCATTCTAGGTTTATAGAGACCTTTGGAACGCATATTGTTGTTGGTGTGAAGATGGGAGGGAAAGATGTTATATATATGAAGCAGCAGCATTCTTCAACTCTTCAACCGGCTGATATACAGAAAAAGCTAAAGGATATGGCAGATAAAAGGTTTTTAGACGCCAATGGACAGTCTGGTATGCCTTCGGAACAAGGTTACAAGAATGGCAAGGTTCGTAACATGTCTATGGTATGTCATTTAATAGTTTTAGTTCTTAATTCTTAAAAATGACCTGTTTCTTAAAAAAGAAAAATGGATTAAAAGGTCTTTGAATGTCAAAAGTTAACATCCTTTCCTCTTGAGTAATTTTGAACCTTGCTATAGTTTCTAGTAAGTATATGGTGGCTGGAGACCAAAGGATGTATCCTTTCCTAGATGTGCCAAAATTCGTGAGTTGATCATAATGATTTGAAAAGAAAAGCTTAAGATGAATCCATAATAGATTATGACGTGCAAACTTTTTTATTTTCTTAAAGTTATCATTTGGTGTGAAGGATGATAATCATGGAAGTTTCATAGTTGTTAGGGAGTATGACCAACCAATGATTGAATGTTGTTATAGGGAACCATTAGTATGACCAGCATAGGTGTCGAACTAGTTTGGCAGGACTTTGTGAGGTTGGACTTTGAATTGCTTATATAATTCTTTTCTTCAACAAGGGATTGGCTTTATACGTAGTCCATTCCTTGTAATTTAACCCTGGACAATTTCTTATTATTACTGATAATACAAGAATTAAGTTAAAACATTGTTTTAAGTCTGCTTTTCTCTATTTCTACTGTATTATAAATTCTACATGCATAAGTTACTTATCCTTTTTTCCCGTTCAAAAAAGTTCCTTATCCAATCATTTGTTTTTCAGTTTGAAATCAGGGAGCAGCGGTTGCGGTTTGCAGATACTAGTCCATCAAGTACTTATTCACACAAGGAGGTGCGTATAATTGCTAAACCTTGTTGATTGTCTTACTGAATTCGTTGGTTATCAGATATATAGATCAAAAAATAAATCGCTACTTTTTCAATTCTGTTTTTTGTTTCTAAGTTACTTTAATTGCAGGACATTGTAAGCATTTGCAAGAGGAGAGGTGGAAATGATACGAGAAATCTATTGCATAATGAATGGTTACAAACTGTTCAGTTGGAGCCTGATGTGATCACAATGTCATTTATACCAATTACCACTCTGTTGAATGGAGTCCCTGGGAGTGGATTCTTGAGCCATGCCATAAACCTTTATTTACGATGTAAGCAAAAGATTTTCCTGTTTGCCTCACTTTTGCATTTTATTTTCTATTTGCTGCTTTTAAATTCTTGATTCTCATAAGTGCACGTCATATCTTTAGATATTACCATTAGGCTCCTATGTTGAACAATAGTAAGTGCCTTATTGAAATTTCAACCAAATAGTTTGGTTTGTTAGGTTGCCAAATTGTCAATCTGGATCATTGATCAAGTGGAATCTTGTTTGGATGCACGGTCTGATTTCACAGTTTGGCAGCGTGTGTTTGTGAGCACCTGCCTTTGAAAGCTGCTTATTTGTATTTACTTTAGTTGCTTCGGGAGCTGCTTATTCTTCACCATATTTTCTTCTCTTATAGGAGAAGAAAATATCAACTATGACAACACGAATTTTTCTTAAACATATATATAGGGGTGTGATATCCACACATCCCTTTTTACTTCTCCCACACCTTTTTGGTTTTCGGCCGTCGGATCGGATGAATTGAAGAAGATCAACGGACAGAAATTAACAAGGGGTGTGTGGATAGCACACCCCTATATATATTAACATGGCAGGAGTTAACATGTGGAAATTTTAATTCTGCTCCTATTCTTACAGATAAACCACCAATTGAAGAACTCCATCAGTTTTTGGAGTTTCAGCTGCCGAGGCAATGGGCACCAGTTTTTAGCGACCTTCCCCTTGGTCCACAGCGGAAGCAACAAAGCAATGTATCTCTACAGTTTAGTTTAATGGGGCCCAAACTTTACGTGAACACCAGTCTGGTAAAGTGTCTCCTTTAACTTTTATTTAGCAGAAGTAAAATTTTGTTGCATGAGTGTTTTAATTGTAAATGTTCTATGTTTATGCCTTTTTTTTTTTTTTTCTTGATTTTTTATCATATGGAACTTTGAACCAAATGAGACATTCATCCATTAACATGGGAAAAATTAACATGCTGTATGGATGGCATCTGTTTGAATGGTCATTTACTGCTTTCCTATTCATTCTCTTATGATGCGCCAATAATTCCATTGCATTAACTAAACCGCTTGATTATTGAGCAGAAAAAAGAGGAGGAATTCCATGAGTACTTGTCGTGCTTAAAAATAGTTTCCTTACCCGCAGAAATCTTATTTGTTAAATGCTGATATCAGGTTGATGTGGGAAAGAGGCCAGTGACTGGCCTGCGACTGTATCTAGAGGGCAAAAGAAGCAACCGTTTGGCCATTCACTTGCAACACCTCTCCTCTCTTCCAAAAATCTTCCAACTCGAAGATGATCCAAATGGAAATTTTCGTCGTGATCCCTATGATCGTAAATACTATGAGAAAGTCCAGTGGAAGAACTTCTCCCATGTCTGCACTGCCCCTGTGGAGTCTGATGAGGATCATTCAATACTAACTGGAGCCCAGTTACAGGTTGAGAATTATGGAATAAAAAATATTCTCTTCTTGAGACTCCGGTTCTCCACTGTTTTCGGCGCGACAATTGTAAAGCGTCCTGAGTGGGATGGATCACCAGGTTTGGCACATAAGTCCGGACTCATATCAACACTAATCAGCCATCATTTTACAACAGTTCAGAAGCCACCTCCACGGCCAGCAGATGTGAACATAAACTCTGCCATTTACCCTGGAGGTCCTCCGGTTCCTATCCAAGCCTCAAAGCTTCGGAAATTCGTTGACACAACAGAGATGGTAAGAGGGCCACAGGAGACTCCAGGTTATTGGGTTGTCTCTGGGGCAAGGCTGGTGGTTGAGAAGGGCAGGATATCACTCCGTGTGAAATATTCTTTATTGACTGTAATTTTACCTGATGAAGAAGAGTTGGAGGGACAGTAGCGGATTCCGCTGCTTGTCAAAGAAAATTGGTAAAAAAAAAAAGGTTGAGATGGTATAGATGCTTGGTGCTGGGAGGAAGAACGGAGGAGATGCGAGGATACAGGCGGCGGCATCCGGTACTGGAGAGTTGCCGAGGCTGTTGTATATTTCATTTCTCACCTCTCATGTCATTTGTTTTTGCAATGTGGATTTTTCTGACCTTGACAAGTTTACAACAGGGCAGGGTTCTGCCATTTGGAAATTGTATGGTGTAAAATTTTGGACCGGGTGAGCGAAGCGTTGGCTTTCGGTTGTGACCAGGCGTGCCGGGCATGGCGGCCAGATTTGGATGAATTTACCGGAACAGAAAAAGGAGGCGGTATCATCGTCTTCCTTGTAAACAAATAGGGAAGGGAATCCATTTTTTGCATTGCATTCCTTGAAAATAATTTGATGTCACAAATTAAGCTTCAAGACCGATCGATTTTACAAATTGCAGATCATAATTTGTCATAAGTTTATTCCTAAACTGAAGGTTGAAAAATCTGAAGAAACAAAAGAAGCACACAAAAGCATGTAAAGAGTTGGAATGAATCCACTTCTAATCTTTGTGTTCGGAGCACGTGGATCAAGAGATTCAGACTGTTCAAGAGAGAGAGAGACATAGATCCGAGCCGTTCAAGTTTTTGAGTTTTTGTGAAGTAGGCTAGTAAAATGGGTAACTAAGGAGTGTATGATTGAAATTGAGTGGTCTAAAACTCTTGGTCCCCGTGCTCCAAACACAGATCCAGAGTGGATCTTGGTCCCCCAAGAAGCACCAACTTTCAAATGGAGGACTTATATGACATAGGTACACTACTATGGTGATGTCTTGTGTCAATGAAGTAAAAACGTGTCCGTTTTTGTCCATTGTTATTATTTTATGAGTAAATTGTAGCAATGGTCTCTCAACTTTAATCAAATTGGATCAATGGTCCATCAACTAAAAATTTATTACCATTTGTTCCTCAACTCATAAAAATGTGTAGCTATGGTCATTTTCGTCAACTTCGTCAGAATTTTGTCAAAATGAGTTATGTTGGAAGGATCATTGCTACAATTGGGTTAAAGTTTGAGGGACTATTGCTCCAATTGAGTTAAAGATAAGGGACCATTTCTTCAGTTGGATTAAAGTTGAGGGACAAATGGTAATAGATTTTTAGTTGAGGGACCATTGCTCCAATTGAGTTAAAGTTAAGGGACCATTGCTACAATTTACTTTTATTTTATTGACACGGGATGTCACGTGGCAGTGGACTACATATATAATTTGTTCGCTTTCAGATAAGGAAAACAAAACACAAAGCATGAAATATTTGATTTTTGACAATTTAAAACCCCTAGTAGTCAATTGTTGATTATTATATGGTGAAGAAACATCATGATTTGGTAAAACTAATATACAAACACCCTCTCTCAGTACCGATAATTTAATGCCTCGGTGAAACTATCATCCTCTACAATCATCCTAAGGAGGAAGTACAAATTTATTATGTTCATGGGAAGGCCAATACACCCCTTCCCTGGAGCACGTCGGGAGAGGAGCCCGTTGCGCAATGTAGGTCGGACACTGCTCTCCCGGCATCACTACTGAGAAATCCGGCGCACACAACGTTGAAACCTGCAACATCGACGAACAAACTATGATCAGCGAGCTTAAACTAGTACATGTAATCGCTTTCTTTCAAGAGCAAATGCATACGAAGTAGAAACAAATTACTTACAGTTTGTCGATTAATTCTTCCATGCTTGTTGAAATGTGCAGACTCCAGAGAAGCACGAGGGAGAGCTTGAGGTGTGGAGAAGGGATTAGGACTTGGCCTAAACAAATGTTCAAAGATGGCCATGATAAGAAACATGGAAATCAAGATAGCCGTGGCTACAAAACCGTAAGAAATCGCGCTCATGGATGATGTCCCGTAGCTTTGCCATTGCACTTGTCGATCGATCCCTCCTGCTTGAGACGGGCTAGGGTCTGTACTTGTAGTGTATCCGTTCCATGGCTTCGGTCTTTCCGAACCAGTCTTGTTCATAGTCTCCGGTCACTAGGTTTTCGCTTTCCTCTCCGCTCTACAACGCTGATTTCGGGTATTTGGTATGGATATGCTCAAACTAATTAACGAGTGTAATCAAACGTATGCTTGTTGCAGCTAATTCAGATGCAGCTAATATTTCTTCTTGTGTAAGTTTGTCCTTGCACATACTTTTGAATGCTTGAAACCTCAAGCTGAAAAGGAACACATGAAAGTAACTTTTAACATTCTGATGTTGGTTGTAAGGATGTTTCAAAACCAATACACTGCTGAAATCAACATGAATAAACGAAAACCCGAAAAATGGAAAAGATTTTTTTATCGAACTACGCATAAGGCTTGGCGTGACTACAATAGTAGAAGTCTTACTCTCTAAATCCACACGAGGCGGAAAGAAAGAACCAAGACCCCGGGATTAGCCATCAACTACAAGTGGCTACTTCCTTCCCACTCAGACGATTAGAAAGGGCTAACTATCCAACAGAATGGCCTCCTCATCCCCTATCTCTAAATTTTATCAACAGCTTTATATCTGTCTGTCACTGACACTATTGAAATTCCAAAATCAATTTGAAGTGTTTGGCAAGAATCAGACTCAGTCCCAAAACTTTCTTGTTTTCTAATTTGAGCGATAGTTTACACTAAATTTATTTGAACTTATGAGTGGGGGATTCGGACTTGAATGCAGAGGGGGTAATTGCTCAAGCCAACTTAGGTACGCTCAAGTCTGCGGCTGGAAACCTAGTCCAAAAGTATAAGAAAAAAACAAAATAGAAAAACAGATTTTTGTGCTTGAAACCAAAAGAAGCAGCCTACTCCATTAAAATTGCGGCCGCACATCCTTGCGCTTATGTGGCTTCGCCACTGACCAAAAGAGTAAGATTTTCCGAACGCTATTAGGAACATAATTAGCACTGCAATGACATAAAAGCTTGATGTTTAACGACTAACCTGGTCTTAAAAGCAGTAATTCCATTAATTCTGCTCCATAGCTATGGCAGCAACCGTAAATCTTCGTCTCCGATTAGACAGCTTAACTAGCTGCCACAGAAGAACAAGTTACCCACACGCGCACGCGCACACACACACACACTTGTGATTGCATTATTTAGAAGAAAGCTGCTCTCACCCCACAGAAAATGTAAAGACAAAGTTATATGATAATCCGATTGGCAATGGCATTGTTAGCACAGCAAAGTTTTCTTTTCATGTTTTTGTTCATGATCTTTTGATGCCTAGCTTGATGGATACTATACCTTGTCCGAAGAAGCAAGCTTAAAGAAATCAAAAGGGTGGGCCTCCTTGTTTGTCCGTCTTGCCAAAAAACAAGACTGCCCTATTTGTATTTGGTGCTTTTTAAAAGTTATCTTTATCTAAGGGATAAGCTTCATTTTGGTACTAGCAGATTCGAGCGTAATCAAATTAGCTACATCACTACTACATTAAATTTAATTTCATCTTCTTCTAGTTTAAATTAGACTAGAATATTGCTCAAATAAAGAAAACAACAATACTTGGCTCCTTGTATGTAAATTAGACTAGTTTAAATTTCATTTTGGTACTAACGATGTGACATCATTCTACCGTATAAATGTTATAGCAAGGATTATTTATTATCTTTATCATCATCTAAAGATTTTATACTAAAAAAAATCATTCAATTTGAAGTTTGTTTAGCTATCCATATGTGTCTATGAGAACGTGAGGACAAAGTTCCAGATCGGTCAATGATCAAACTATGCAATGGCTTACAAGGAGTTGAGCTACTCTCCAATATTGCTAATTGGTTTTATGGTGGAACTCAAACTTGCTTCACTTGTGAAGCCCACTAGTCACGTGTGAAGCCCATTGGCCACAAATGATTCACGTCACACATAAGACTTATAAGGAGTTGGGTTACTCCTCATATTGTCAATTGGTTACAAGTAACATTCTCATAACCAAGCATCAATTTGTTTGATTCATATGGATGACTAAATAGTCTCTAAATCAAACGAATTTTCTAGAGGGAATGACGTTTATAGTACTGTGAAATGGCGCTACCTAGTCATTAAAGGAAATGAGAATCCTCTCCGGATTCTATTTGTGAGGATCCCGAGGATCTTTTAATTGTGTTCATTCATCACACATCGTGTGGTTAGAAATCATTTTAAATTTTTTATTTAAACTTGAAACACAAATAGTATTTGACGAAAACTGACTGCACGATTTACGATGAACAGACATAATTGAAGGATCTTTTGGATCCTCAAGAAGAGAATCCGAAGAAGATACTCATTTCATTAAAGGAAGAATGACATTTTAATGTAAGGAATCAAGCATTGTTTTAAACAAAAACTTCATCTAAGTCACAATTTGTAATTCTAAACCTACTTATTAACCCACATGACTCCATCTGCCCCTGGGTGGAAATTAACTAGATTTTCCCCAATAATCACCCACTAAATTAATCAAAGAGCACAAAAATAAAGACATAAAAAAAAAAAAAAGCTGCTAAAAATTATTAAAACTAACTAAAGGCTGCTGCAAGTGCAAAATATGTATTAAATTTATTTAAAACCCAAACAAATAACGGCCAGAGGTTATGAAAATACCAAAAAATAGAAATTTAAATGAAAAATTTATGGTGGGAAATCTAGAGAGAGAGAGAGAGACAGACAGACAGAGACAGAGAGAGAGAGAGAGTCAATCACAGCTGTGCCGTACCAGCAGCAGATGAGGAATGAATGATTCAAGACGAAATGGGTCACGTATAGGCTAATATCTTATTGAATAAGATGTCACGTTTTTACTTATGTGTCTAGAATTCAAAATTTTTTTCATTCTCTAAATTATTATAATAATTTCGAATCCTTTCTTTTATCTCAATAATAATTAAATTTAAAAAATGAAAAAAAAAAAGAAAGAAATGGGACAATAGGGGTAGTAGCATTGCAATTACCATGCATAAAAAAACAGTGCTAAAAAAAGGAGGAGGTGACATATAGATATATAGACCATATTAATTTGTTCCTCATATACATACATATTTTTTTAAATATAACCTTTTGAGACTTTTGTCATAATCACTAGAGCCAATACTAGAATTCTTTACAAAGAAAAACCCACGAAAACTCAGCGCAAAGTTGTAAAGTATGGATTGAGATCATCTCCACATCTCGCACTTGGGAATTTAGAGATTAGGCTAGGAGCGTTCAAGAGAGAATGTATGTGAGGTGGATTAGTAAAATGAGTTAATAAAAACTGCATGATTTAAGTTGAACGATCCAGATTGCTCAGTTCGCATACTCTAGAGTGTGAGATTTGAATCTCAATTCTTAAAAACTTAAAAAGGATAGTAAACGATTGTATTGGCTCACTCATGTAATTAATCATGAGCAAATGTCGAGCCTAGTATCGTGGTATTATAAATAAGAGTATCATTATGTTCTGTTGTATGATGAAGTTTAATCCAAAATTTAAATTATGAATATACATTAATAAGATAACAAAAAAATAAATAAATAAACAAAAAAGGGGATTTTCGCCTGCAATTTTCTCATTTCTGCACACTTCCTTTATGAGCAAGCCAATTGAGGAAAGGGATTCTTTTCGGATCTCTTCCATCAAATTCACCCAATCAATGAATCTGGACTTTTGAAATTTAATTCAACGGTTAAAAACAGGAGGTTCCTTTAAAAATTATAATAATTTTAACCGTTGAATCAGATTTTAAGAATCCGAATTTATTAATTAGATGGATTTGATGGAAGGGATCCAATCAGGATCCCTTTCCGCCAATTGAACCAAAAAAAGGGGAAAATTTAGGCAACGAATCACGCAAGAATTATATTAAAATAAAATGGTGAGAAAAATAGGAAGAGTGGGGTTGCCTTGGCATTGAGTGCAACCCTTTTGTCAACAAGGCCATCACCATGTCTGGGACTGATGTGAAAGCCTATCAGGACTAAATATACTCTTTCATTTTCTTAATATCTTTACACTTTTTTTATCCTAAAACAAGCAAATGTTGCACCACACCAACATAAATTATGCCAATAACTTTACTAGTGTTGTCAAACAAAGAATTTGGACCGTAATTCGACATCTTATATTTCTCGTTACTTTAAATAGAGTACATTTTCACTTTATTTAAAGCATGCTCTCACGTAAAAACATTACATAATGGATCGCATGTGAAATTGATTCTATACCTGTCGTTAAGTGCGTAAGTAACGTAAGGCAAGGTAAATTCTCAATTCGAGTCAGTGACCTACTCGTTATCACTCCATTGTTGTCTTTCAATTTGCATATTGTGGAGCCAAAAGTAATCACAAGACGACACGTGGATTTTTTGGTAAAAGAGGACAAAAATACCCTTTAGGCATACTGAGATTCCTACGCGTGAGCAACGGGCAATCATCACTCAACCAAGTTAAAAGTGCCCAAAATAAGTAACAATTCAAAACCTATTTTATCCATCCTCATCCAATCTTCTCCACAAGGTAAACTTCCAAATCTTCCTTTTTCTATTATATTGATTAGCTAATCAATTAGGTAATTATTCCATAATTCTCAATTTAACACAAATCAAGAATCTAGCCCACAAAAGGTGGTAGGTGGCCGGTCCTCTCTCATCCAAGGAGGCCGGCCACTCTCCTATTTAAACCTCATCATTCTCCTCAAAATGGACTTCCAATTCTCTTGCTAAAATTCTCTAAAATTCTCAAACACTTTTTCTCTAAATTCTAACTTTGGCATCGGAGGTTCTTCGGCCAAAGCCCCCCTCCCCCCCAATTCGTCGTGGGCACATGAGGCTCTTGGCCTTGACCAAAGGTGTTAATTGTTTTGTAGGTGCAATCTTGTCCAAGATCAAGAGGAAGAAATTTGCATCCACAAATTGGTGCTTTCATTGAAAGTTGAGTCCCACACTCGTAGAAGACTCTCACATCTAAGGTTTTTCTATCTTCTTGTTCATTTGTAGATTTTTTGTACGTTTTTATTATTAGAATTTTTTATTT